CTATATAATTATATAATCTAAATAATGGAGGTAATCTTGGGTGGTGGATGCGATAATAGTGATAGTCTTGTATAAGAGGAAAGTACCAATAAGTGTAATACCTATTTTATATTTTACATGAAATCATTATTGAAGATACCTTAGAAGTCTTAGTAAATATTTTGTTTTATAACTCAGGAAATAACTAGTTAGGATTTTGATTTATAGATACATCAAAGTTTTTAGCAAAATTGTGTGTTTAAAAGAATTTACACTAAATTAAGAAAGTTCTAACTTKAAAAAAAGGTTTGTATCACCACAAAACAATAAGGCATGGAAAATTTAAGTATCTGAAAATATGGCTTTAGGTAGATATACTAAAAAATGTCCAAAATCAGAATCTAAAAACCAGTATTATTAAAGGTTAAAAGTGGGTAATCATGCTTGGTGAATCTCCTTAAGTACCTATATAATTTTACAAATATGATTTCATTATTTCTTTAAGCATGTTAGTCACAACCTTGTACATAATATAAAAGAATACACTATAAAATATGTGTACCCTAATTCTTAAAATGATATAATAATGAGTATACATATTTCATACACATTAAATTTATATTTTTAAAGAATATTACAYGAAATAAAACATACCTGTTCCCAATTTTTCAAAAAGAGCTCTAGCATTATTAAATCTTGCTAAGTGGCTTTCAGTCCTTACAACAGTCACTTGATTAGGCGTTTCTACTTTGACTGGCAATTTATTATCTAATGTAGGTGAAGCATTTTGCTTGACTACTATTATATCTGGATCCTTAGTCACTGTAGGACGTTGAAAAATGTTTGCAATTTGAGATACTTTAGGTCCGACCATTCTGATCGACTTTTTCTCTTCAGTTACGGTAGACATCTAGAATTTAGTGTCACATGTTAATTGAGTACTATGAATATGGCGATATTAATAGAAATGTTTTATTTTAATTTGCTATCTTATAAACAATATCAGACAGTTGAAAAATTTCATCGGCACAGGGAATTCACTATACAAATTTTACATTTTTTGTAGTACACAACAAAATACGGATATTAACAAAAATATTTTTTTTTTTTAAAGGTACACTAGTTCAATATTAGATGCACACTCACAGTTTAAAAATGTTTGTTAACTGCACCAACGTTTTGCCATCTTTTTGAATCATGTTCACACCGAATTTTGTGGTGCATATTCGTAGGACGAAGAAACATGATGTAGAACACAAATAATCTACCTATTTGGAAGTCATTTTTCTACGAACTCGTACGTCGTACGGAACTACGGACTAGTTATTGAATTCCACGAGCCACGACCTGCAAACACTACACTTCAACGTATAGCTTAGTGTATACTTAGTGTCTACGGACCACAGAAAAACATTTGCCGATAACAACAAAAATGGGATATA